CATGCGCAACGCTGAACTCATACGTCATCCGCCCGGAGCTGCTTCCGTGTACAACTGTTGGCGCAAGCTACATTAAAGTGATTATTACGTTTTGAATATGGATATTTTTCTTACAAAAACACATCAATTCGCTACAGGGGGCCTTTGTTCGCCCCCCGGAGCCGTGTGAGACATTTTTTTATGGATGGGCGCTTTTTATTTAACTTCTTTTGGACTGATGCATGCAACAACCGCTGAGTGGCATTAAACAGCTTGAAAGATCAAAGAAAATTTTTCATATAACTCCGACTGGATTCGTCTGAAAGAAGTAAGTCATATACACCTAGGATGACTTGAGGGTGAGTAATTTATCGGCAAATTTTAATTTTTGGGTGAACTAACCCTTTAAGCGCATATTGCTGATTTATGTTTTATTTAACTAAATAATAATAATAATAATAATAACAATATGTATAAAACATAGAAAGTGTATTGACTAGTCTTAACTCGCCTTTTAACAGAAACCATGATCCAACTCATAAAAACTTAAAATAATCTTCATACAATACAAATACTCATTAGTAACATCAATTTACATGTTTTGACGCAGTTAAAAAAAAAAAATCTGTGTAATATAGGCTATGCATTTCCAGTACATTTTATTTGTTATTAAATAAACCTATATTTCACTGATTCAGGTCTTTGGTTCACGCATGCTGGTATCAGCAGTAAACTCACTGGTTTGCCAATGTCTGGGTCCAAAACTATTCTCAGTTCAGTGTACTTGTTATTTGTGTTGCAAACGTTAACCTACTCTTTTCTGGATAACTGCTGTCACACTATATTCCAGACAGCTGACAGAAAATACAGACAGAGCCTATTTAGACACTTCACTTAACCAGTTGATAATGAATAAACTCTGTTTTATGTGACAATACGTCCATCATGTCATTGAGCTCTGACAGCCGCAGCACTTGCCAATTCGCTGACTTTTACTACATGTAATATTTACAAAGACATGTTTTTTGTTTTGTTTTGTTTCTGCCGTTACTCCCCAACAGCTAGCCTATCTGCAGTTCTGTTGGCATATTTATGAGCTACGGTTATGTTGACCATACAAAACATAGGTAAGGTTGGGATTTGAACCCAGGTCCCCTCACAAAGAAATCTTTACCACTAGACATGACTCTCATTTTATCACTTTTTCATATAAAACAAAGTATAATGCCAGCCCTGGGGGCTGTTTCATAAAACTAGTTTATAAGCCAGGCTTATTTCAGTTATTCTGACTTATTGTCTCTTGATTTGGTTTCCGAAAGCAAAATTACCATAGCTCAAGCTCAGTCACTGTGGCAACTGCTGGGAAACTAACCTGGTCCAGAGCAGGCTAACTGTCAGGCTAAGCTGAGCTCCTCTAACACTGACCAATAGGAACACATTGATACCACTGACTCTCTCACATGCAATTACTTCAGAATCAGAATCAGAATCAGAAGAGCTTTATTACCAAGTATGTTTACACACACAAGGAATTTGACTTGACGACAGGAGCTTCCAGTGTAGAAGAAAGTACAAACATAGTGCAGACATACATGATAGTGCAGACATACATAGGAATAACACAGTAGGGATGTAATAT